GAGAGAGAGAGAGCGTGCGTGAGTGAGTGAGAGAGAGAGAGCGAGTGAGAGAGAGTGAGCGAGCGAGAGAGCGAGCGAGAGAGCGTGCGTGAGTGCGTGAGTGAGAGAGAGAGCGTGCGAGTGAGCGAGAGAGCGAGTGAGAGAGAGAGCGAGTGAGAGAGAGAGAGTGAGCGAGCGAGCGAGTGAGTGAGTGAGTGTTACCTGCAGGTAAGAGGGAAAGGTCTCCTCCAGCTTCGTTTTCTTCTTCCTGTACCTCTTCTTCGACTTCTCTGATGTCTGGTCAGTGATCGTGGGTGCCATTTCCATGGCAACGTCTGCAATCAAAACACAGAGTTTGTTTGTGACATCAGCAGTGGGTGAAAGGTGGGCATGTCCACAGGCGAGAGGCGTCTCACCTTCATCCCGGCCCGGCAGCATCTCCGTCGAATCCTTCCTGCACAGCTTGATGCGGTTTGGACCCACCCCTGCCTTGGCGCCACGCTGACGCACCATGAACCCGCCGATACCTGAGACACATACAAACACACAGACTGGTTGGCATGGAGACATGTCCGCACAGAACCCTGCTCTGACCTATCCCAGGCCCCGCCCCCTCTTCACCTGGCCTGTAGGGTTTCCGTTTCCTCTTCTTGTTGCCGTCAGCGACATCGGGCTCCTTGGTGATGTCATCGTCTTGGACGTGATCTCGTTCGGGGCTGGAGTCAGATTTCATCTCGCAGTCGAGCGGAGCTGCAGTGAAAACATAGTTAGCATTGTTTTCAGCCCGTTTAAATAGAGTTCATGATGGCGGTGCTAACGCTGAAACGATGTCATATTCACAACCACGGCGAGCACGAGGTCACAGAACACGACGACTCCGCCCACAATCCTAAATCTAAACAAACAAGGTAACCTTGGTTACATATGCAGACTCTGAAGAGCGTCAGTACACCTGCTGACAGGAAGCTTTAGCATCATGTGACTTTAAACCACCCAACCAATAACACAGTCTATTAAGAATGAGCACAGGAAGTCAGACAGAATCACTTTCAAAATAAGAGCCTCTGCAAAGACTGAATGACCTCCTTTGATCTGATGCTGTAAAGTCAGAGAAGAAACATGAACCTGAAGGCAGCTCAGCTGGGTCAAAGGTCAGCAGTCCAGCGAACTCGGCGTGACCTCGAGCACAACACGAACTTGCTCGTGGCTAAAACACACTTCAGCCTGCAGAATGAAGCCATGCAGGTCACACGTTCAGGTGAGAAACTCCACACCTGAGCAAGCGTAATGGTGACTGACCTCTGCCATGGTCCAGCTCGGCGTCCACTGGGGTCTGCAGGACGGACACGCTGTTCTGGTTGATGATCCTCAGCTTCAGTTTGGGTTTACACCTGCAGACAGGAAGCAGAGCGTCATGCCCGCCCACATCGACCTGACGGCGCAGCACGAGAGGGCGGCGGCCTTACCTGCGCCACCTGCGCGGCGACGTCAGAGGTTCGACCAGAGACTGCAGGTGAGACAGGCCCGACTCGGTCAGGCAGACCCCGTCCTGAGTGTACGTCTTTGAGTCTGCAAACAGACACGATTTTCTCTTCATCAAACAGCTTTGCTTGGATCAAAGCGCTCAGACGGAAACGTTCTCCAGGAGCACAAACGACCGCCGTCCGACCGCTTTGATCAGAAAACACCAAACTTTCATGACCTCCTCACGTTGTTTGCCCATCCCAGGACCCCCAGTGTGATCCACTTCACTCATGTGTGATGAGCTGCATTTTAAGCTGCTTCAGTTTGTTTCAGATGGGAGAAAAATCAATGCTTTGGATGTTTGGAGACATGAAACAAACCAAAAACTGACATCATCACATCAGGTTCCCTCAGAGCTGAGACACTATGAAAGGTTCATACGTGAGCTTTACTGCCATCCACAGGGCCGGACTCGACCCTAGGAGGGCCGCTTCTAGCCCCCAAGCCGTATGTTTGACACAAGAAGAAAGCTCCCACGAGGGAGGCTGTTTGGATCGCCCCCTAGTGTCTACAGAGTGAATATCTGCACAGACAGGAGACCATCAGACGCGACCCTGGATCCACCTCAGTGGTTGTTTCTTATCAGAGGACAATCTGAGCCTCCAGTGGAGGCGTGGGGGGGCTTGGATTAGGACCACGGGCCGTTGCTTGACTACCACAGAGTGGGGCACTGACCGGGTTCCCTGATCCTGGAGACGATCTGAGCCATGAAGGGCGCCAACGACTCCGTCCTCCCTGAAACAGACACACACGTCAGCCTCAAGCTTCACAACAAGTGTGTGTGTGTGTGTGTGTGTGTGTGTGT